TGGGCGCTGGATCAACCCAATCTTGTAGTAGCATTTTACACTTTGAAGGTGAAAGACACATACCGAACATGGCAACACTAGCACTCAAACAATCCAGAAAAGCTTGCAACTTACCTGGATCTTCACTTGGTAGCACAGTGTCGTCTGCATACTCTAGTTCAGACAATCTGCCACTTGGAAGTAAATCGATACCGCTATTCTCGCACGAGGATAAGACTGTTTCAAGGATTGAATCTATCACGAAGTTAAATAGAAACGGAGAGAGAGGGCAATTTTGTCGACACCACTTTCCGTGGTAAACTCGGGTGAAAACGTGCCGTAAGCTCGGATTCGGCTTCGGCTATTAGTACAAAGCGATTGTAATATTGCGATTAACTTCTCGTGCATTCCCTTCAGGGAAAGGCAGCGCCAGAGTTCAGAGCGATCGACTGAGTCGAAAGTCGCTTTTTGATCGAGGAAGATAGAAATGGTTGGTCTATGAAAGGAATGTCTATGTTCTACAGTTTGACGAAGTGTGAAGATATGGTCAACTCAGCCTTGACCAGGTCTTAAACTCGTCAGGTCTTGCATGCATGTCCCTGAAAGAATGTATGTCTATATGAAAAATTTCAACGGTTCTAGCCTAGCAGCTTGTTGACCGATCTAAGTATTTGTGCACACTCCGAATGTGAATAAGCGAAAGAAGTGATTTTCGTTTGTGGTTGGTTTACTTACTGGTTACACTCTTAGTGAGATCTCATCGATATCTTGAGCGAGACCAAGATTTATATAAGCGAGAAGTTTTTCCTAAACGGGTTTCCGGATCTTAGATAAACGACATACTTCGCGTTAGCGCACGTCGATGAAAGGGTTTTTTTGGGGGGAACCTAATCGGAGTTTTCGACACTGATGTCTGACGCACAAGGTAGTGGAGCGGAGATCTAACGCGGGGGCCTGGTCCAAGTACTGGTGGGACAGCTTCTAGATACTTGCCGCGAAAATCTTGCGGGTTTCAGTTCAGTGTATTTTTGTTGCATTGTTTGACTGCTCACTATTCATGGTGGGCCTTAGCTCATCAGCCATTGAGACAAGTGGAACGTGGACGGGCCAGCACCTTATTGATTGGGAGCTGCCCAGCTTAGGCGGGCTGTAGGTGTCCAATAAAATTTGAAAATTTCTCCCGCCCTCAAAAAATAGCCCTAGATACCCCGCCCCTACGTCTGACAATTGGAGTCTTTTTGATCGGTAAATTGCTCCGCTCCATGTTTATTTGCTATATGACCTATCCAGGGGCGAGAGTAATTCATCAAAAGGAGCCAGGAGGTACCCGATCCATTGGCCCTGTGATACGGAGCTTCGTCTGACCTCTACTCATGGACATTTCGGGAGAATTGAATCTGCGGCTAGCTCGGATCAGTGTTGTATATGAGCTCTGTCACTCAGTGTTCGCCTTCACCCTATTGGAGATATGTATTGAAAAGCCATCTTACGGTAATCTCACACAATCATTGTTTCTGTTCATCATCCTGAATAAATAAATGTTCTGAGCACCTGAAGGAAGGCACAGAAGTCATTTCCCGTGTACTTTGCCTTTTCCACTTTATTTTGTCTCCAAATATCCATGCTCTGAATGTTTTTTGAGTTTATTATATATTGCCTCTATCTGCTAAAGGTGTTTTTCTTATTCCAGGCAGATTATTTGGAAATGGAAATGCCAAGCGATCAGATAGTTCAAGGCACGAATGATGATGCAACCGCCAGTAAACTACATGCAGTGAAACGCGGCTATTGGATTGATCCATACATTCGCTATTTTTGCTTCTCCAGTACTCCTAAATCTCCCGAAATAAACCGAGGCTATTTTGTCCGTACTCAAGCATTCAAGGCCGTTACTATGTCTTTCATCAAAGTAAGCTGAATTTTTCTAACTCTTTTCCAAAGCACAATCATGGTGAATGCCAAATAGTGAATCTGGGAGCTGGTTCGGATACTTTGTTTTTCATCTTACGAGACGCCAATCTACTACCTAGGAAGTTTATCGAAATTGATTTGGGTTATAACGTTATGCGGAAGATTACCATAATAAAAAACAGGAAACTTTTCACTGAATCGGAAATTGCATCAGGTCAGTTATTAGCTGATGACTTCTTCTCTGATTAGCGTCGTGAAATTTCTATAGTTGAGCGCTTTCAGTATTCCTTTGTTGTTTCGTAATCGTCGCTTACTTCATTGTTTAAAACTGATTTATAAACTAGGAATCATAGGATCTCAAAAGAATGTTCGAGAAATTTTCCAAGAGAAAGAGTAGAAAGTGATGGATATCCACAGATGTATTATGTTTTTATGCGATGGAACAATCGCGGGTTCTCAACTGGTGCAATACGGCAGAAAAATACAGTTGGGTTACACGCCGATTGACCAAATCAAATGATCAAAAGTCATTCTCCAATTTGACCCGTCGAACCCACACACACACACGTATCGCCCACCACTAACACACTCAGCTTAAGTGCCCAAAAATATCAAAAGCTTCCGGTCCTGACGGACTATGTCCAGTCGTCCTCAGAGAATATGAGCATTATCTGGCGGAGCCACTTGCCGGTATTTTCAACCGCTGCTTCGAGGAACAAAAAATTGTCGACTGCTGGAGACCTGTGCGCATTACACCAGTCCCCAAAANATGGAATGTAAGCATCGAATGATCGAAAGTGCCTAACGAGGGCTGGCATTCTACATAAAGTAAATGAGGAAGGCTAACCAAACAAAAATCTAGATATACATAGAGTCTGGTGGAAAAGGTAACAATGATTTGAAACAAAAAAATGTTGACTGTGCGCATTACACCAGTCCACAAAAAAGAAGCTGGTAAACTACGACCAATCGCCTGCACTTCTATTTTACTAAACATTTTCGAAAAGTTTATGCTCAGTAGCATTATTCCCAATACTGGGCAGTTAGATGAAAACCAATTCGCTTATCGCACACAACGTTCTACCTTAGATGCTCTCGCTCATTTGGTAAACTCAGTTTTGCAATCCCTAGACATGCACGGTAGGGCATTTCGTGTGTTTCTTTGACTTTAGTAACGCTTTTAAGTGTGTTGACAGGAGCAGGCTTTTGTCTCTACTCCAAGGTGCTGGGTTGTCCGATAATACCCTCTTTCTACTCCAAGATTATTTTGCTGGTAGGACACAATTCACAAATTTTCCTGGAAAAACCTCTGACTGCTTACCAGTCAACTCAGGGGTGCTCCAGGCAGCAATTCTGTCCCCCTTTCTTTTATCTTTCTATATTCGTGACCTTCCCACTAACCCAAATGGTCTTATTAAGTATGCTGATGATGTCGCAACTGGTTCCAAATTCCAAGGTAATTTCCGCTTCTCACATCTTCAAACCAGTTTATCTGCCTTAAACCTATGGTCTTCGTCTTCCAAGTCATGTCTCAATGTATCTAAATGTAACGATGTCACCTTTTCACTTGCCAAATGAGAACGGCTACATTCTTTTGAAATAAATTGTTCTGCACTCTATGTTGACAACCAGCCTGTTCCCCCAGTAAACTCTCTACAACACCTCGGTGTCACTGTCCGCCAAGATCTCACCTGGACCTCACATTTAACTTCTACTTTTGTAAAAATTCAACGATTGTGTTTCTTTATTACCCGCTTGCGTTCTTTAAAAGTTCCACTGTATTTACTCACTCGATTTGTATATTCTTGTATTGTTACTCATCTCTATTGCTACCCAGTTTTATTTGCCGATCTCAGAGCTAAAGATCACACAATTCTACGCCGGTCTATTAAAATTATTTCTCGCACAAGCGGTATTTCTTACTTGCACTTGCCTAACTTTATCGCCGATAAACATTTTACCTCCTGCGATAACTTCTGTAGCAATATTCTACCAGACACCACTCACCCATCACACAGAACTTAAACAATGTATATCCACTTCTGTAACAAGATGTCTTTATAATCCGGTGTATGCTCCTACCATCGCCTATCGCTTGTCCGTCTTCCCCTATCTTTCGAGATTTCTGGCTCAGAAGACATGCGTTAGAGAAAACTTCTTGAACTGCCTACGCAATTGATATTCATTTTTAAACTTGTACTCCACATTCCTTTGAATTGGCGATGCTGTTTTTTCCACTTTTTTTGACTGTATGCGACGATAAATGTTCCCGGAGTGCAAGAAGCTGAGAATCCATCCATCAGGATGAATAAGGCGATTTTTGACTTGACTCAATAACGTTAGACCAGTACCACAGCGAGTGATGTTCGCCGAGTCAAGTAGTGGGTGAAAGAAAGTCAGGGGTAGCCAAGCTAAAACTTGGCACGAGGGTATGAAAACCCTGACCAAGGGACTAGGTCACATAGGTCCCGTTAGGCTCCCTGGCTGGGGACCTCGAGAGAATCGTACCCGATGGTTTGAGACATTGAATGATATGGCTGGGTGTCATAAACAGTGGCGTTCTTGCATCTTCGCAATCTCTCTGCAGCCATAGTTTAATGAACTTCTCCATTTTCTTTTCGACTCTACCTTCAACTTTCCGGTTCTTCTCCTATTATCCATTCAGATGGACAGCCAAAAGACAGCAACCAAAACCGGCACATGGAAGTGCATGGTTAATGGTTGTACATACTGAAACAGACCAGTACCAACTCCCACCCTTACCCAAGGACACCGAACACACAAACAGCCTGGGTCATTTATCGCTCGGCATTTATTGTTGACAAATCATGGTCGTAACCCGATTTAAGGTCTATTATGCCATCAAAAACTCCCGGTTGCTTAAGGTTACGGAGACGGTCGCAATCAGGAAATGGAAACCCAGCCTGTGTGTGCACTAAGAACTGTCAGTCACACTGTCGCCCCCTTGGCAGTAATAGAAGTGTGATAATTCGTCCGTCTTGCTCTTTTGTAACTTGATGCACTGTTCACCGTGATAAACTGCAGTTTTCTGCCGTAATGTACCAGTTAAGATGCAGCGAAATACGCCTTGGCATAAATCATACAACCTAGCTTTGTTGTGCTCTCTCTTCAAGTTTATCTCGGGAAATAAATGTTTCAATTGCTGATTCATCACAAAACTGACTTACTAACTTGGTAACCGAGTGTGATACAACTGCAGTAGGCCTTGTTTAATTCGCTTTGACCGTTTCTTTGCCTACGGCCATGAAGATTGATTTCTCCGTTGAGGTAAATGAAATACAGGTATCACTTATCGCAAGATGCTATTTTCTTTATTCGCTATTATTGAATACAGAATAGTATAAACATTTCAGGAAGGGCAAAAAGCCAATCAGAGGGAAGCCGTCTGGTACACAGGATTCGGGAAGTAAGTCGGTTGTGATCAAATTGGAATACGCGACTCGCAGGGTGAATACTTAAATGCTGCTTGTCATCGTCATCATTGTACAGCGTAATAGAGCGAAACGAACTTCAATGATCCGCGCCAAACTCAAAATGTATAAAAAGGTAAGTGAGAATCTGTAAGGATGATAGGGATGGGGCCTTTTTTTAGGGACAAGAAGAGAAAGCCAACCTGTATGCTCAAAAAAGAGTACACAGTCCAACCGTGCACCTACACTATATCAAACATTCTGGTCTGATAAGAAGTGACAGCAAGATCGCCATTGTTGTCCATTTGCCGCCATGTCCTTCAGTGTCTCTAACTATCCAGTGACGGAAGTTTTGGGCTCATACTTGGAAGACGAGAGACATCCGCTCTACTTAAGCGTTCTGTGCATATCTTCGTGTCTCGTCTCCACATTATATGCTGGCCTCCACGTGGCTTTCTTCAGTCAGCAGCGGCCACTGCAAATAAGGCGCAGG